AACTTGAGTGAGAGCACTTGCCCCACGTGTTTGCTCTAGCAACAGTGAATGCTAATCACCTTGAACTAGAGGCAAAACTACTAATTATTTAGCTCACTGAACCGGTTTTACTCATCGCTTGGATTCACTTGTAACCAAATCGTAAGTGTCTACAAGCCTTCTTCGTTTGTAAACAGTTTTTGACTTGTAGGAGAGCCAAGCATCGTATGTTTAAAATGTAAATGAGATGGTCGATACTTACAAGCTTTCATTTGCATTTTGTGGGGATTAACAAGGTAGCATTTTGATCATTGAAAAACGAATTATTTTACAGGTTAGGAAGCACCTGTAGAAGAAGAATTCTCACTAGTRTACAGGTTATGAAAAGTCAGATCATTAAATTTGCCGTTTTTTKAATAGATAACGATCTTTTTGTGTGGACAATGTTTTAAAGCAAGCTTCATGTTCAGTTTGGCAATCGGTTTTAAGCATCTTTGGCCTCAAGACCGCTATTAGATAACTTGCCCGAGCGCTCATATGCAACAGGTCCAGAACAGGTGGTAACAAAGACTACAGCGCGCTAACCAGTTCTCTCACAGAAACTACATTTAGAGAAGTAAAAAGTGTTTTCTAATCAGCTGAAACATTGTATATGCTGAAATGCATTGACAGATTTAARAACTGGAAAAATCGACAAAAGGAAATGACTTATCGCGAGATTTGAGCGAATATAGGCTGGTCATATTAACCGAAATCATGCTGTCGACAAAAAATAATATTTTTTAATTGTGCATTTGCAAGCTCAAAATGAAATCACAATGAATTATACTTATATTAGATAACACGGATAATGCAAAAAGCGTTTCTTATACAKCACAAAGCGAAATCGTTGCCATTTTTAAGTCAATATTTGTATTRYTGCYTTTATAGGGGAGGGCATAACCTTTTTCTATCTCGTCTTCAGAACACGTTTTATCAACCCTCCAAACAACTCCTGAATCTCGGAATAGATTTTCGTGCCGTTTAAACACAATATGTTTGGTGCTAATCGATGCCGTTTGAACATCATTATCGAAAACTAATTTTGTTCCCTAAAACTCTAAAATTATCTGCTATTTGACGTCAAACGTATTTTAATATGTTTGACGGGGGCGCGATATGAAACACCCAKATTAWAGCTCCTTTTCCTACAGTATTCAACGAACGTGATCAGACGACGGTTATTACTCGCCAATTTGGGCCGACAGGAGGAATAATCAAGATGTTACTATGGAAACTGTTCTGTTGCCCAGTCATTTGTATCCAAAGTTTGACAGAACGTCAATATTTTCAATGGTTGTGAAATTAGTAATGCTGAAATGGAGACTTTTACAATGCAGGGGCTATACTGAAGACAAAGTGCAGTATTCAATGAACGTTAACTATTCTATAGTAACAGACTGAATCCCTTTTTTTAGATTTTTCTAAAAATGATTATATTTCACTGAAATCGTGAAATAATCATGCAGTCCGTGAACATTTAAAAACAGCATTCAATATTTGTTTAAGACACACCAGATTTTAAAGTAATCCGTTGAAAATTYGAGAAGATAACGGCTCGCAAATCAGTCAACCTCACGACCAGTTTCTTGTATAATTCGTCAACTCAGTAGCTTGAAATGGTCACGTGAACTTTGCTGAAATAAGCCTTAAAAATCGGCCTCASYACTGAAAAAAACGCTGCCTRCAATTAGSGAAATGCTCAATTTTCAGTAGAGGAACAAAATCTGTTGAAAATGTGGCGGTTTTATTAAGTTAAATAARCCCAAGGCAAGCTAGGAATATTTTTGAAACTACTTTACCTGCATTCTCTTAAATCTATATAATTATAAATGTGAAGAAATGGCTTGATTGACTTCACTTCTGATCTACAGCAATAAATCACTCACTTAATACGANTTGACAGAGAAATAATTGTATTACAAGCACTTTTCTATTATTAGCAGGTTTGTTGGTTGCCCAACCTTGATTTTACGTTGGTTTTTAGTATACACGTGGTTTGATTGGATGAGGAGAGCCCTTTATTCCCTCGCACGCTATACATGTTAATTGCAAATAGCTTTCTAATAAAAAATCCACCCTTCGTTGCTTAAGTAAGGATCTCTGTGGGGGAAAAAAAGTTCAGATGAAACTATAGAGATAAAACAGTTACGCTCAAAATGGCTTCTCAATTTTTTTCATCGGCAAAACTTGCGCCCTTCTGCTGATTTTCATTATTAACATGTACTAGTAATTACATTATGCCCTGTTATGCTTAAAGACTGCTATGAATCACATCACAAACTGTTAGTTAAGAACAGTAACGAAGCGTTTAATGAATAATTTAAATCAATGAGTATACATATTATTATATTGATGCTGAATAAACGTATCATTGAAATATATCCTTTAAAATYAGTTCTAGAAATTGAACTATTTACATTTTTAAGATGTGAATTCATTTCAATATTTCAATAAATAGAAATGTGTATGCTTTGTAAAATGTTGTTAAAATTTATACAAATATATACAAATAAATATCAACTCGGAGATGGATATCTCTTTACAAAAGTAGAGGTTGAACTGATATAGGAAGGGAGAGTAGTATACATAATGATCCTTGGTGAAAATTGGAAACGACTGAATGAAAGAAAGGGAAAATGAAATATTGAAAGATGAGAATAGGAAACTTAAAGAAGAAAGAACGAAAGTGAAGAAGAAAGAACGACGAAGACATTGGATAGTAAAGGAAAAAAACAAACGGAAAATATGAAAAATATAAAGGTATAGATTATAAGGATTTCTTCAAGTGAAGATCAATAAAGTCTCATGGCCGAAGTATCTGACAAACTCGTTGATTGTCATAGTTTTGGTGAACTCGCGGATTTTAACAGTTTTCGTGTAAATCGTTGGTTATCATAGTTTCTGATTAACTCATGGATTTTCAGTTTCYGGTCAACTCGTGGGTTATCATAGTTTTTGGTTAACTCGTGGATTGTCATAATGTTGCGCACACAGAACTTTTTCCATTGGGTTTGGCATCATCTTTGTCTGATTTCACTGTGTTCTTCGATTGACTTGAAGGGTTCTGTGTGATAGTTGTATCTACAGCTCCAGGTTCATATTCCTGTACGTACGTACGCAGCCAAATAAGAAACGATACAACCTTATGATCACAGTAATAAAAACACAGATAGAGCGGATTTCGTATGAGTGGGACACCGTTACCGCACGGTTACCGCACAGTTACCGGACCTGGCCTCCACAATTTTGGTGAACCAATGGGGCACTAGAATTTGGTTACAGTACGATTACGGTTACGAGTACCGTCCGTTTCCCACTCATACGAAATCCTCTCTATAACCGCTGCAAAGAAATATCGTACCTCGTATTCTAGCCATGTGATGGGCATGTCCTTTCCATACGCCGCTGACCACCAAGATACGTCATCTCCTGGACTGAACTTTTCAATTGCATGTCCAAGGTGATCGTATATATGTGCCAACCTGACGATGTTATCATCAAAACATGATATTTAATCATCATTATCAGTAAAAAATCATTATCATTATCATCAACATCATAGCAAGCCATCACTATCGCTCACCTTTCAAAGAACTGTCCTGGATCAAGACATTTACAAAGTGATCTCATCGTCTCCTTGACAAACGTTTTTCTCTTCTCTTCAGTCTCTTGCAACTTGTCAAAGACAAAAATCATGTCTTCTTTGTACTTTGGGTTGTAGTTTGTCATATCGCGAATGGCCTCCTTGTATTTTGACTGAGTGGAAGACACCTCGGTTTCTGATTTAGTAAGTTTGTCTTTAAGTTTCTTGGTCTGTTCCTCTGTCACGTTACTTGATTCGACAGTGCTGTTGTTGTAGAGTTTCTCGGCTTGATCGCGTGCTCTGCAAGCTGTGAAGTAAGACCTCTTGCATTTCATTACTGTGAAGAAGGTAGAAGAAGTTTAGTATTTGGTTCAGTGTTGGATAATCATGAATAGATGATGAATAAATGAACGGAAGAATAAAAAATGGATGAATGGGCAAATGGCTGGATTAATGAATGGAAATCAAATGAAAGATTAAATAAATGAATAGAATGAAATGATTAAAGAAAGAAATTATCCTACCTTCGTCATACTTCTTTGCCCAAGGTTTCTGYGCTTTACTAAAACTCTCTTCAGCTATTTTRGTTTCTTTCCAGCTCAACAAGGACTTATGATAGTTTTCAGCCTTCCATGACGTTATACTGTTATATACATTGTTTATCAACTGATTCTGAAGCTCACARTGGATTACAGCTAGCTGTTGGGCTTCCTGTGTAAATTCAAGCATGGATGATTTACAGGAACCATATTCAGGACCTTTAGATATCAAGTCAGACCATTTTTTACTCCAGCCTACATGAGATAAAAGTATTACATAAAATAAGGAAGTTGGCATGTATACTGACACTCATAACTCCTAACAACATTTTAGGTTGTTTTTGATAGAGAAAGAAGCCTGCAAAATGGGGGATAAAGCTCTCAAAGCAACTAAGTAACTATCATATATGGTGACCGGACAAGGTCACTCAAACTTGGACCCCAACAGATAGGGATAAACACCACAGTGCTAGGTCACTCTTGATTCACAAGAAGACTTAACCAGTTTAATTGTCAATGAAAACATTGACAGAACTTTGCTAAACCTTCAGTTCAAGTTACAGGTTCTTTAATACTTTACCCAGGTTTTTTGTTTAGTATTTCATTATCATTATAATGGCATATTTCCAATGCTCCCTCAGGCATCATTAAGTATTATTAGCCTGCTAAATGGTTGCCATGGATATAATATTGGTGCACGGAATTCAAATTCACATAATATTGGGCCTTAAACACTTCTGCTATATATCATCACCGCATGCTTCTCCAGCTTCTTTATACTGCTTTTTATATGTCACTTTGTTAAATGTCTGTTTTTTTCAAAGTCAGATGCAGTTGACAATTACAATATTTAGTTCACTAAACTGTATGAAAGTATTAATAATTTATTAAGTAATAATAAAATCTTGGGCACAGACATGCCTGTTTTACATTAAACGTGATATTTGTGCGTTTTGAGCATCTTTTTGTCAAGTATACACTTGACTGTTTTTCAAAAACTTTTAAAAAATCGGTCATTTCTTTTTTGTGGGCTAAAAGCTCAATTCAACTGGGTTTTCTTATAACTCAAGTTAAAGAAAACTTTTAGAAAATCTTACCTTGTAACTTTAAAGAGTACTGGCTTTCTAGCTCTGCTCTCTCGCTAACCATCTTCATAAAATCATCAGCCATCTTAGCGCCATCGTCTACTCGCCTAACYGTCTTTTTATAACTGTTCACTTTCCAAAAATCGAAGTCAGTTTCTTGTACTTTATCTTGTGGTGCAGGWGATGTAGGTTGWARCGGAGTCGAGGGAACTTCCATCGAATCTTTTTCTTTTTCGTTACTTTCTTTGAGTTGTTCTTCTAGATTAGGATAGCTAGCATACCCATTTGTATGATCCAAGTTATTATTCTCCATTTTTGTGGATTCTAATATCGATCTTTCGTTAAAAATATATGAGTATTTTCGGCAAGATCGCTGTTTACATTACGTTGTTTCCAGTCTCCAATAACAATTCGCCCGCGAACATTAGGGTCAGCTGATATCAAGCACCACAGGTAGCCCATAAATCATAAACTGCGTTGTTTCTATTGCAGTTTGAAGTCCATAGTTTCAAATTCTTCACTTTTCAACGTTTGAAAGACATTGTCATATATATTTGGCGCTCTATATAGCATTTATTATCTTCAAGTTATGGGAAAGACCACACAAGCACTTGCTGTAGTTTTCGTTGCTATTTTGATGTCTTTCATACTCAAAACTGTGCTGTAAGATATAATAACAGAGATCTTAAGACACGCCGTTTCGGTTCACTGGTACGGGTAGGCGAGCGTGTTTATCTCACACTTTATACAAAAAGGCGTCCATGTTTACCTATATGTCATCGTTTGTCTACCCGGTATTAAATCTACCCGTATTTCCGGTGTATATTTACCGTATTTACGTGTACCGGTATGGATAGTTCCCGGTGCATCTTAAGGTCTCTAATATATTCATTTGGACCGCGCTCAATGAACCGTTGGTTTTCTAGCTAATCTTAAACAATTTCTTTTATTTCAGAATTCGTGGCGGGTATTTTCATCCCTTGATTATAAATCATGCACCAGGTCAATGCAAAACATACAATGGTAGGTTGAAAGAGAGAGAAATAATCGTTGTGGGCATCGTTGTGCCTTATGCGTGCCCCCTAAGTACCTTTAGTCGTCCAGAGCAAGAGACTGTCAGCAGTGATCCTATGTCAATGCCGTTATTTTCTTCCAGTGACGCTTTGAAGTCACTGAGTTAAAAATACTGCTTGAGTATTGCGATAATTTTTGAGAATGTCTATTAAATGTTTTCTTTTCGTGACCTCGTGTCATTAACCTCGTTCCCAGGTTCATTACTATTCATTTGGGAAAATGGCCTGGGAACGAGGTTGGCTATGTTTATGCGATCAGTCATTCATCCATTCATTATTTTAATGTTTTAATGATATGTGTTATTTTTAGTGGATGGAGCTGAAGATGTACAAGTTTTAGACAATGGACTTGCGATCTTTTCATCGGTAAGGCTATCAACCCGATCACTTGAATCTAGATTTTTGATATTCATTTGGAGGGGAGGGGAGAGGGATGTCTATATAGACCTCTAAACCTTTTACGTCACTACTTGATTTTCAATGCATTGTGGGATCAATTTCAAGAAAACAAAAGAAATCCGCCATGTTCTATCCCAAACATATCCTACAATGCATTGCGTATACGGTACATGACGTAAAAGCTGCAGAGGTCTATTGTTACTAAGGAGATCACGGAGTCACTTCTAGATTTAGCATCCATCAGAATCGTATTAAAGGCGGATCATAAGATGTCTGTAAATCCTTTCAAAGCCAAATTAATTTTTTTTAGATACAAAAATAGTAATGTGGCCGTTGATGATATGTTTTTTTCAGGGCGTTAGGTACTATACATCGCTTCATTGTGACTCACGTGTGTTAGCAAGAAAGGGTCGAATGTATTTGTTCGATATGAAGGACCCAGAAAAAGATCCTCAAGAATTACAATTAAAATCGTTCAACAAAACAGGATTTAACCCACATGGCATTTCACTGTACAAAGATGGCACCACAGGGGTGGTGTCAGTCTTTGTAGTCAATCACAGACCAGACGCACAAGCAATTGAAGTTTTTGACTTTGATGAAAAATCGAAAACGCTCGAGCTACGTCGCTCGATAGTAGATGAGAAAATCCACAGTCCTAATGACGTCTCGGCAGTAGGTACGTATTGTTAATCAAGTTTGGGTTTCCTTAAAAATACCACTTGGGTTGCCTGTGTATCATACTTGGGCTGCCTGTGTATCATACATATCATACTTGGGTTCCATGTGGTATCATTGTGGCGGCTCTAGGGGAGGGGGGAAGGGGGAAAATGGAAGGTTCCCTCCCCTCCCCCGTTTTCCCCCTTCCCCTCTCCCCTAGAGCCGCCACGCAGGCTAGACAGCAATCTTCGTACTTGTTTTTTCACCCAGGTCCAGACAGTTTTTACGTCACAAACGATAATTTCTTTCACTTCGACCGATTGTTCCTTCGGGTAGTATCAGTGGTATTCTTATCACGTTTTCTGAAGTCTGGCGTTGTGTTTTTCGATGGTACAAAATCTTATGACGTAGCGGGTGGCATGGTGGGGCCAAATGGGGTAGCTCAGAGTAAAAATGGCAGGTATGTAGAGATGGATAATTATATCGAATATCATATAGTCATGTCGACCGAGCCCAGAGTCTTCACGGCTGGATGTCAGCGGTAGCTCGAATTGACGTCCGCTGAACGGCAAAAATGCAGGCTCTGGATACGAGATTCATAATGTAACGATGACTGACGATGGCGCAATGCCGAGAATGAAGACAATATTGATGGTGACGCCACCTAAAAAAAGCTTATCTATAACTTTTAACATGATTCATAATTATAATATATAATATCTATAATTTTAATTTATCATGTCTAATGATTTCTGAAAAAAAAAAAACAAATGGCAGAGATCAATAAACTTACCTTAGAATCGATCACAAAATTAAGTTCAAATGGTTCTTATCGCTCTTAACAATATTTTCGTTTTTTTTTAAAGATACTTGTTTGTATCCGCTGGAATGAATGGTGCGCTTAATATATATCGAAGGGACGAAGGAGGTTTTCTTCTCAAGCACGTGCAGGTAAAGGCCCGTTTACACTTGCAATTTTTGAAGCGCGATTGTCGCGCGACAATCGCCTGAGTTTAGAACATGCTTGAAATTTAGCTGCAACTTGCGGCGATTTTCGATCGCTGCGACAATCGCAGGGCTGTTTACACGTACGAATGGAGGTGCGCGACAAAAATTGCGAGTGTAAACGGGCCTTAATACTGATGAAAAACAGTTTTTTAAGTTATTCAGTTGGAATCTATCTCCTGATCCGTATAAACTAAAATTAAAGAAACACCTTATAAACTGAATTATTGTATAATTGCTTTTCTAATTTAGCTATTTAAAAAGAATTTCCATCCTCTTAACAAATCCTGCATCCGGACCAGTAATTAATCTGCTTGTCTACATACGTGTTATTTATATTTGAATTCCAGACTATTGAAATGGGTACGTTTGTGGACAATATCAACCTTGACCGTAAAACMGGGGACTTATGGCTTGCAACAATTCCAAAACCAYTGGATTTTGTACAGTTTAACGAGAATATTGACTATCCAGCGCCTTCTCAAGTTGTTCAAGTGAAACTGGGAGAAGAAAATCCACACAGTTCCCTTCCATTTCCGGCGTTYGAGCTACGTGAAGTTTACAAAAATAACGGAWGTGAACTCAAAGGAGCCACAGGCGTTGATGTATACAACGGCAAGCTTGCCATTGCAGCTATTTTTGACAAATTTATGGTTTGCGAACTAATTTTTTATTGAGAACTTAACGGTTCTGGTAAAACATGTAAAGGACTGGGTCGAGAGCCAACGCAAAGGACGATGGATATATTTAGCAGCCGCGCACCTGGTACCTTCCCATCACTAAAAACAACATGCAAATGCATAGTCCCATGTTTGCATTATGATATAAATTATATTTGAATAAAAATCCACTAGAATTACATAAAAGAACTGTGATAAACACAATACTCCAATTTCGAGTTCTGGTTWGCTCTGTGTTAGCCTYAAAACCAAGYAACATATTCTTTTRTTTTATTGATAGCCCGAGAAAACGCATGGAATTTGAAAAGAGMGACAACAGAATTGATATGAAATGATGAAATATGAAACCTTTGATTCGAGCACGTTTCCATAGTTACTTAAAAGTCTGTTTTAAGCACTACGAAATCTCTTTGAAATAAAGGTACTTTTCCATTAAGAACCTCAAAAATACAGTAATACTACTTTTTAATGTAAAATTAAGCTTTATTTAAAGTAGCTTGATGAGAAGATGCCGTCTCGCACTTCATYACTTCCCTTATTGCCATTGTGGCGTAACACGAGGGGGGTAGTGTCAGTTCAATTTGTAACGCTAAATATTTTTCCCCAGGGGGGACCACTAAGGTTGTTTTGCCATCTAGTTTATCTTTATCAGTGAGCACTAACGGTTCATTGACGTCATTGTAACGATGGTAACACCAGCAAGTATGAGCGGGTTTTATAACCAGTTTCCTGTGGATAATTATTATCTATTATTATCTACTTGTCATAGTATAATGTCTTGGGTTTTGGGGCTCAAAAAAGTGACGTCAGAGAAAGTTACGACCGACGGGGTATATGGGTATTTGGATGACATGTACTGCATCATCATCATCATCATCATTATCGTCATCATCATCATTCCTGCCCATGATTCTTTGCTCGGGAGGGAAATTAAACATTACTATACACATAATAACATATTAATAATTGTTTGCCTTCCAATTCTTCTTTCGGTCTTTAATAATGTAACTTTTTTGAACCAGAAAACACATTTCCTTAGGCCAACGACGTCAGCGAGATGAACCAAGGTACTGACGAAAGTAGGATCTGAAGCATGTCGTTGCTTTTCCGTTCTGTTGTTCTTCCGTTCTGTTTTATTTTGTTGCATTTCATTTAAAGTTTCAAAACTTCCAAAAGCGCTAATTTTGCAAAGAGACTTCGTCCTCTGGCATCCGCCATTTTGATCCTTTCATCAATACCATGATGCAATTCGCCAAAGCACAGATGACGTCATTAGGTAAGAGGACCGTTATATCAGCTTACCTGTAAGCCCCAGATAGGGAGTAGTCCTTGACACGATGCCGGAGATTATCAATATCAATGCCATCTTTATCCATCAGTTCCTTATAGAACTGCTTGGAATTATAACCAGGGTACGTTACATCATAACCGGGTAGTGGCATGACGATGTCATGAATAGTGAACCCCCCTGATTTGACGTCTTCTGCTGTTAACATACGCACGGGGACAGAGCGTGGGGCAGATAATGCGTCCTTGTCTCGCATTTGGCAGGAAGCATCTAAACGACAGAATTAGGAACATTTTAACGTCTTTCTTAAAGGCCCATCAGTACCCGAGAGCCTTTGCGCGACTTTCTCACATACGAGAAGTCGCTAATTTTGATTTTGAACCCATCAGAAAGCAACTTTCGAGAAGACGCCTGTTGGCCTTTAATGTAACTTACTGATTAGCTCGATTTTGTCTTCTCCCTAGGTTTCTCTGAAAATTCACAGTGATTTCCACACATAATATTATCTAAAACGATCTTTTCAGAAGTTTAAATATCAAAAGCAATACAGTGAGTTATGGTATACCTTCTGATTCCTCTCTAACACTGCCATCAGAACTGAAAGGTAGTTCGTCTGTCAAAACGAGGTCGCCTTCTACAGGAGTAAGACCATATTTCTTGGAGAAAAATATTTTGTTTACAATCACTAACTAACAAATAATCATAATCTAATAATGATGAAGATGATAATGACGATAAATAATAATAATGTCCCTTGTTGAGTCCAGTCTGAAGCAACAAAGAAACTAACCCAGCAACTAAGTACCTTAGTAAATAATCACTGCTGTTAGTCGGCTAAAGACCTGAAGTACTCAACAAGAGGTACAGCAATCTAACACACCAATGACTCATGCACTTCCAATGTGCAGCGGTAAAGCTGTTGAATGCTTGAGACACACGGACATACATATGAATATCACATATGAATGACAG